GAAAGAGGCCGGCTTGTGAGTAAAAACACACCCACTCTGTGTGATAAGGGACACATTTTCTTCTGCATCTTTGACACCGAAAAACAGGCTGGGAATCTTTTGTGCTTGTGATATTGCGCATGTTGATAAAGATTGGACGTGATTGGACATGTTGGAAGGCGGAATTTACCGGAATAAAGGGAATTGGCATGAACAAGTTTAATCCAAAATATGAGTTGCAAAATCTGCGGCGTCCAATTCTTGGTTAAAGATTTTTACGAAATTATGAGCAGAGTATTTCGCGAAACATTTGTTGAAAATATCGTCTAAATACCTCCGTTGCTTTTGACAGTAACTGAGCACCCTGTAACTGTTCATTTGTGGTATTCTGCGTCATTTATCTGCTAATTTACTTAATTTGCTTACAAACAAACCTTCCTTGAAGGTGTAGATAAAGACAACAAATAATGTTATTTCGTTAGTTCATGTTAAATACTTCTGAACGTTATTTAACCATATTCCATGTGGTTTCGAAAGGATGGTTTAATGACTATTAAACACAATCGTGCACTGTGAGAGCTATAATACGCTTTGCAAACGATGCACTTTTCGTATTGTCGAGCCATGCTTAATTTTGGCTGCACCAATCAGAATCCTAATCGTTGACCAATGGTATGCGAGGCAAGGTCATGTAGCGTTGTCATTATTACACATCCTAAAAATATACATTCATCACTGTTGAAATGGTATTTTTGTGCCAAATAGCATTGTGATCACAACAATCTTACTTTTAAACATTTGTGGCATAACTTTGAGTGAATTTATCCCGTAGATTGACGGCTGATTTTTTTTCAAAACGGCTGCAGCTGAACGCGAATTGGGGATGGTCTAGTGATTAAAACAAATATCATTGAGCACGACGTTTTTCCCTGTTCTACCGTCGTGCATAAATGAATTTTTTTGCAGATAAGTCAGAAAAATCTGCGCTTTGTGATTAGCAGAACAACCACTACCTGGATATTAGCCAAGCTTCATTGTGAATAATTAATGATCTCCTCTTTGAGTGTGCTTCTAATTCGTCTTATGTTACGGGTATTATTCACCCCTGCATAGCCTTTGCGTTGCAAACTTTAAAATAATAGTGACAAATCAGAAATTCTCTAAAGATTTATGAAATGAGGAACGCAGGATCGAAATGTCCAGCACGGTGATTGGTTAGATGTGATCTCGTCGTCTACTGGGCATTGCTGGACGATAACGACTTTGAAGCTAGAGAAATAATGTTAGCATCTTGAAGGTCATACAGGAACTAACCAATCAAAAAGTTATCTTTTGTCAAATGTGTCAACGGCAAAGATATCGTTTAAGATCATCTGGTGCTCTACGGTGAGGATTTATGACTCACCCTCATTCCTCGTGAAACTAAACATAATGGAATTTAACTACCACTGTTGCAGCGGTGATGCCTATTTGACGAAAGATGTTAGTGGAGACGCAGGTCTAAAATTTGCAGGCATAAACGACAGGACTTGAAAGTGTATGCGTCAGGAAAATAATACATCAAATATCAAGGTTGATTCTGCAGCACTGCTTCATTCAACTATCAAAATGATACTTTGTTCGACTAGTCAAAGAACAACTAACTGGCCAAATTAACACTCAACGAGGTGCACCCCGGTACTCATGTTCGTGGGGACTTGCGTCACCAGAACTTGGCCAATCACATTTGAGGAATAAATAGGAT